ATATATATATATATATATATATATATATATATATATATATATATATATATATATATATATATTAACTGTAATTGTATGCATTTATACAAAGACTCTAGAATACAGAAGACATGTCACTTGTATCTTTTTAAACGGGGATAAAGTGTAATGGTCAATATGGCAAATAAAGCCCCATCTATTAGTACATGACTCAATCATCAATTGATATATGGTGAATAAATCCCACCTTCTAGTTCAGGAACCAATCATTGATCACTATAGACTGACAATACTTCAGGGGAGGGGCTTGTTGTTTAATCTTATTGGTGATTTCTAATATGAAATTCAATCGTATGCTTGGCTAGCAGTTTTGGAGAATTTGATGTTTCCCCATTCAAACAGAAAGTCCGAGCATACTGCCTGAGAGGTGTTTCAAAGATGGATGCCAAGTGAAATTACATGCCTTAAAAGGACTTTGATCTACACAAGTTTCATTTTGCTACTTGACATGCTGGCATTCACAAAAAAACATTACTATTGCGATCAAAACTATTCTGTTCTTAAAATAAACTAAAATAAATAATTTTTTTGCAAGACATTTTGCTGTCGTAAACAATTTAAATGATAAAAGTTCAAGGAAAGCATAAGTGAACCATTATAAAATTGTTAGATAAATATTAGGATCATAAAAAATAAACTAATTGTCTGTATTATGCGCTCTGGCACCCGGGACTATGACGTCATTTACTTTTGCAATTTTAAAATTTAAAGGTAAAAACTGGCCCAATAGCCCCATAAGTGGCTGTAATAATTAATTACAGCAATCTAGACAGAACCTAAAAGCTACACTTTCAAATTTGAGATTACAAAAAAAATCTTTTTTTGGGGGGGAGCACTTTATTATAACAGACAACGTATACAATTATTTCAATTATTTTCAACAGTGTTTTATGAAAATTCTAAGAGTATCATTTAAAGTGATACCAAACTTACACCTCTGCATGTGGATTCAAGCTTTTGAAATTGGGTAGGCAAAACAGCACTTGACTTCAAGAGTTAAAGTTCATGTCAAAGCTATTCAACACAAAAAAAGTATGTAATCTTTTATTCTCACCCACTTTCCTATTTTTAATCAGATTTTGCCACAGCAAAATGAACCACCGCTTACTCTGCCATATGATTTCCTGTCATTTATTACTTAGAACATGGATAATTTTTATCCATGAAAACCCTATACATGTTGCCTCTAATGGCTTACTGGTTGACTGATAATCTTTGGACTTCACATTGCATCTGCATTCTTCAAGTTCTGTCAAATGTATTTTTAATAGGATTTAAACGTGGCCACACAGAAAAATTGTTGAGTAATCTCTGAATCAAGCATCAATGAATTTGAATGTATTGTTTGAGATGATTATCCTGTTGGAAAGTCTAAAGGTCATATATCTTAAGTCAATGCACCTAAGCATCCTAATGAGCAACCTCCAATTCATCCAACAGCTGCAAGGCATCCCTATAACAAGACCCAGTCATCTCCAAGTTTGACTTTGGAGATGATGTTTTTCTGCTCAATAAGCCTTTTTTTTTTTTTTTTTTTTTTTGACTTATTACTTATAAACATGTCCAACACCATCTCTGCAGCACTCCACTTATCAGGGCTGTGTTGTTGGGTGACCAAATTTCATGACATCCCACCGTAAGTTTTCGAAAAAGCACTCAAGAACTCAGACCATGAGAAACAAAATGATTTAACTAACACTGTTCATCGCCTGGCCAATACCATCTCTACAGTGAAGCATGGTGGAGCAGCATAATTCTGTGGGAATGTTTTTCAGAAGAAGAAACTGGAAGACTAGTCAGGATTGAGGGAAAGATGAATGCAGCAATACAAAGAGACGTCTTTGTTGAAGACTTGCTCCAGAGCACTCTGGACCTCAGACTGGGGCTATGGTTCACCTTTCAACAGGATAACAGCCCTAAACACACCATCAAGATAACAAAAGAGGCACTACAGGACATTGCTAAAAATCCTTGAGTGGCCCAACCAGTCAAGACTTTAACCCAATTGAACATAGATCTGAAAATGACTAAGCTCTGTCGCTACTAATTCAGCATGATGGATCATGAAAGGTACTGAAAAGCACTGTACTTGGTGTGGAAGATGTTTCAACAAAATAGAGCAAAAGCTGTGAATATTCATGCACATGTTTGTAGTTGTTTCTTTTTAATTCACCCTGTTGACCTTTGGGTAAAAAATTACTATGTACAATTTTAACAGCATATTAATCTTGAACTTTAATAACTTTCCAAAATGACCTCAACATCTGAAAAATGTATTATTGTCTATTTTCATGTAGACTATACACATCTTGGGTACAACAACTTTTATTGGACCCGCCATCCATAGAGCCAATTTTACACAAGAAAATCTACAGGCACGCACATACACATGATAAGAAATGGGCTGCTTTAACTTTTATGAATGCTGTGTTGCTAAAAAAAAATCTTTTTACATCTATGCAGAGATCTTGAGCATTAGAAAATATAAACCTTTACTTCAGTCAAAAACTATTGATGCCTACTATTTAAACACATGAAATACTGCACACCAATGAAGGAAAACCTGAACATTCGATGATATTGTTATGAACGATAAGGTTGTTTTCTCATGCAAAATAATTTTGAGGATTAAAATTAAATAGATATCGAAGGGGGGGTAATTTTAGGACAAATGGGATATACAGATTTCTAAGACCACATAAAGGGTTTTGTGAGGATTTCAAACCAATTCATTCATCCATTCATTTTCTTTTCGGATTAGTCCCTTTATTAATCAGGGGTCTCCATAGTGGAATGAACCGCCAACTTATCCAGCACATGTTTTACACAGCGGATGCATTTCCAGCTGCAACCCATCACTGGGAAACACCCATACACTGTCACACATACACTATGGACATTTTAGCTTATCCAATTCACCTATATAGCGCTTGTCTTTGGACTGTGGGGGAAACCCACACGAACATGTGGAGAACATTCAAACTCCACACAGAAATGCCAACTGACCCAGCTGAGGCTCGAACAAGCAACTTTTTTGCTGTGAGACGACAACACTACCCACAGCGCTGCCCCATGATGAAAAAAATACATACATATAAAAAGAGCTATAGTTTTTGGAGAAAGTGTTTAAATATAATATTTTACAAGTTTTAGTGTTACAATAAATTAATTTGTATTCTGAAGATCAACAAAGGTCTCAGGCATTTGGAACGACATGAGGGTCAGTACTATTATTTTAGGTGAACCTTTTAATCTATAAATAAGCAAAAAAGAAAATAATGGCCAATATAAGCAAAATAAACATTTAATGTAACAAATATAAGCCCATATAAAATTGTATCGATCTGTAAACAGTCAAAGCTCGTCTGCTCAAGCAGTAGATGACATCAAGTACACAGTCAGCTCTCTGTGTTGCTCAGTTTCTTGGCAACACGATGACGATGATGATGATCGCCTACTTAAAAGCAGAGCAGAGCCGTGACCAACAAACACCTTCATCAGCATCTCCGACTGAATGGCACTCGCTGAGGTACGACTATCATTTGTGTGCTGTCATTTAAACTTTTATTTTAGAAAACCAGCAGGAAGAACCTCATTTAACTAAGTTCAACATGTTCCAGAATCAACTTGGAACAGTATTCCAATCAACCAATCAGATTTGAGGAATTGGTTTACTGTAAATTTAGGATTACAATTAGCGTTTGGTGATTTTAGATCATTGCTATTCACATATAATTTCTGTTTGATTATTGAAACAACTCACAGTTAGAATTAGATTTAAAGGGGTAGTTCAACCTAAACAAAATGCAAATTCTTATGATTTACTCACTCTTTACTTGTTTGACTTACTTATGTTGAACACAAAAGAAGATGTTTTGAAGAATGTTGTAACCCTTGACTTCCATAGTAACCACATAAGGGAAAGTAATTGTTGAGTTTTTTTAAGGATTGATGTTATCAGGAACAACAAAGCATGTTCAAAAGTAGATTATTTGTCTATTTAAAATCATCAGTTGCTAGTAACATATAACCATCTATCAACATTTTGTTTTTAATTTCCATGTGCAGCGTAGGAAGTAGATTGTGAATCTGCTGATAAATCATCTTCATCGTCGTCTTCTTCATCATCAGAGGTCATCATGGGCTCCAGTTCTTCATCCTATACCCCTAAAACTATTTATCTGGACGTGGATGGAAAGGTGCAAAGGGTGAGTCTCGAGATTTCCATGCATTTTTATGATTAGTGTTAAAGAGTGTTTGATACGCGCATATAAAAATGTGTAAATGCATCTGTAAACAAATGATGAGAAAAAGTGACTTGTTGAGGATGTGTGAAGTCAGTTCTTCAGATTGTCATATTAATGATTCATCATCATTTGGTCTTAATTTTGAAGATTGTTTTATTTTTTAAATCTGAGGAAATGTGGCTGAAATTTGTACTCTAAAAGTATTATTATACCATCCTTCAAACAAACAAACAAATAAATAAGTAAATAGGTATTTAAACAATTGCCACACATTAGCTAGTACATTTTCCAAACAAATACAAAGAAAGGGAGTTACACACTAAATCTAAAATTACATTTTTGGAGTCAAAAATGATATATTTTTTTCATATAAGTGCTTTAAGTTTATAAAAGGGTCCCAGAAAAAAAGATTATAAGATTTGATTTTGTCAGTGTATAAACATACAACTATATATATATATATATATATAAATTATTACTTGAAATGTTTCCCTGGGGGAAAGTGCTGTCGCCTAACAGCAAGAAGGTCACTGGTTCGAATCTCTACTGGGTCAGTTGGCATTTCTGTGTGGAATTTGCATGTTTGCATGAGTTTCCTCGGGGTGCTCCGGTTTCCCCACAGTCCAAAGACATGTGGTACATGTGAATTGGGTAAGATAAATTGTCCATAGTGTATGTGTGTGAATGAGTGTGAATGGATGTTTTGCAGTGATGGGTGGTGGCTGGAAGGGCATCCGCTGCATAAAAACGTGCTAGACAAGTTGGCGGTTCATTCCGCTGTGGCGACCCCAGATTTATAAAGGGACTAAGCCGAAGAGAAAATGAATGAATGACGTTTCTCTGGATTGACTGTATTTATTTTGTATGGGTTTGAGTAAAATGAAAACATTTGCTTTATAAATACTGCAAATGTCTGACAACATTTCTTTGAAATGTAAGAAGAAAATATAGTTATTTCAAGCAATTTTTATATAATTTTTTTCTTTTTGTCTTTTTTTATATAAATTATGGGGGAAATGTTTTTGTTTTGAGTTAAATTCATACTTATTTCACCAAATATTAAATTCTTAAGTTACAACATTGATATTGTGTTGTCTGAAAAGGAATGTAAACCTGTCTAAAATATAGCATTTTTTTATTTTATGCAAAAAAAAAAAAAAAAAAAACTCTTAATGACAATGTTTACATTACATTTGGAATAAATCAGCAGTTTACGGATCAAAACAAAATAAATTTTATTAAATAAGTTATATATATTTTAAGTGGTCTCTTAATTTTTCCCCTTTATTTCTCTCTTTTGTTTACCAGGGCTTTATGTATTTGATCAAAAATGCAGTAAAACGGTAGCAGTATAAAATGGTATTTCAATTGTGATGCAAAGTTTCTTGTTCAGCATCATTACTCAGTTTTCAGATTCATGTGTAATTTTCAGAAATTATAATATGATGTTCTGGTGACTGTTAAACATTTATTGTTATTATTACCAGTGAAGAAAGAAGATTTAATGCTTAACATTTTGCAAAAAAAAAAAAAAAAAAAAAAAAAAAGCAATGTATTAGTAGAGTTCAAAAGATTTAAAATAGAAATCTTTATACCATTACATTTTGTACGTGTGAGTAAATATTGACAGAATTTTGGGTTGAACTGTTCCTTTAATGTAATAATACATAAAGCTAGTTATTTTACTGAGTTCAGGACAGTCTTTTAGTATGTTAAAAAGATGTGGAGGGTCACAGATGTCTTTGACACACACAAGCACCGGTCCTGGAGGGCCGGTGTCCTGCACAGTTTAGCTTCAACTCTAATCAAAAACACCTGAACATGTTAATCAGGGTCTTCAAGACCACTAGAAATCTATAAGCAGGTGTGTTTGATTACAGTTGGAGCTAAACTGTGCAGGACACCGGCCCTCAGGACCGAGTTTGCCCACCCCTGCTACAAAAACTCATTAACCACTACATTTGGGCTTATCTCATTAAATGCACAGTTCATGCAAAAAAATATAATTCTGCAAAATGTACTCATCCTCCACTTGTTCCAAACCTTTTTGAGTTTCTTCTGTTGAAGACAAAGAAAGATTTGTGTTGGGGCAACATGAATGGATTGTGTGGAATCCTGCATTTTTTACAGTGCAGAGTTTAAAATAACTTGATAAAATAAACCTTTTGTTTAATTATAAAAATGTGCATAAATTTACGATGGAAACACATTTATTGAATACATTCCAGCTTGAAGTCATGTGATTTTGTTTTACACATGTGATGACAAAAAAAAGCATTGATGGACAAATTAAGCAGGGGAATCGACCACATTATAAAAGATCGTAAATGTTGTTTTAGTCATTTTAAAATCCTTCAGCCAAAGTCTGTCATTATAGTGGTTTGGTATCATTATCTCCAGAATTATCTGGAGCGACTGCGCTCACAAAGACTGATCCCACACCTCCAAAAGCCACCACTTTTACTTTTCTGCAGCGCGACTGTTTTTTGTGATATTGCAGTGTTGCACATAAGTCTATTTTGCATCTGTTGATGGAAATATAGCTACTGACTGTTATTTTTTTTTTATTTTGATCTTTAGATTATTCAACGTTATCGCACATCATTTGTAACTTTTTGATTCAGTGGCTTATTTGTATGAAACCGTACAATCATTTGTAAAATTTTGTACAATTTGCTTGTCCCCCAATAATGGTTAGGTAAAGGGAGGGGGGGGATGGCTCCTTTTCAAAGTCTTACATTTTGTGCAACTGAACTTGTTCTAATTCATACGAATTAGCCACTAAACTGACAGAACATAAAATAGTTATGTTTCCTCATGAGATCAGGCTGGAATATCTTGTTTTGTGTTCAACAGATAAAAGAAATTCATAAACAATTAGAACCTTTTAAATACATAGTACATTTTGAGAATATGTTCTTTTTTGGTGTATACTGTCCCTTCAAGAATTGTTTTCTTTAATTGTGCAGTATTCATGAGCGTTCATGTTTTTAGGTGATTTTCAGTCGACACTGCAGCCCGTGTGACATTCGGGATCTTCTTTGTTCATCATCCAATATTGCCAGGTGTGTGTATCTTTTCATAGAGATTATAGCATTATTAAAAGTGAAACCAGAAGGTGAATTGAATTAATTTTTTAATAATTTATTTTCAGAAACACAGCTGTACTTTTGATTGACTCTGAAGGAGCATTGATATCGATTGACCCAACCAT